AAACTGATGTTTTTTCAGGCATTTTGTCACAGCAAAAGAAAATGACATAGGGCTGGAGAGATGGCTCAGCGGTTAAGAACACTGCCTGCTCTTCCAAAGGTCCTGAGTTCAATTCCCAGCAACCACATGGTGGCTCACAACCATCTGTAATGAGATCTGGTGCCCTCTTTTAGCCTGCAGGCATACATGCTGAGAATACTGTACACATAATAAATAAATAAATCTTCAAATAAAAAGAAAAGAAGCCGGGCGGTGGCGCACGCCTTTAATCCCAGCACTCGGGAGGCAGAGGCAGGCAGATCTCTGGGAGTTCGAGGCCAGCCTGGTCTACAAGAGCTAGTTCCAGGACAGGCTCCAAAGCTACAGAGAAACCCTGTCTCGAAAAAAAAAAAAAAAGAAAAGAAAAGAAAGAAAGAAAATGACATTTAGTTTTCCTCCATCCACCAGATGGTTTCTTTCATCTTGGTCCCTCTTCAGCAAGAAACCTGTTTGGTCAGTTTAATCAGAATCCCCTTGGTCTTTGATGCTACCTCTGGTGGTGTTCACCCACTGCCTCCATCCTGCTCCATGGCTGCACATCCATACTTGCCCTGCTGTGTTTGGCATTGAGCGCTAAGTCTACTGAGGAAGAGACTTGATCCGTCGTCCTCATCAGCTTAGACCATGAAACCCAATATGGACAAGTTCAACAGAACCGCCTTATACGGGCTGCCCATGCATGCTTCAGCATTGCCAGGGCATAAATTTCAATTCATTCCTAAGCCTGCTAAGCCCTAAGGAGATTCCTTAGCTGTCTTCTTAACTTCATGATGGGTTCCCGCCCTAACAGACATCACTGATTTTTTTTCATTGTCCAGCACAACCACCTTTTGTGACGTGGCCTATGTTCGCTTCCAGGTGTGTCTGAGAGTCCTCTCTACTTAAGTGAGTCCATATGCCTGTTTGTTGTAGGCCAGCTATTTCACGGGGTATAAGCACCCCCTTGGAAACTTGTGAGATAAACTGGCATATGGTAGTTCAAAGAGCATTTAGACTCAACAAAGAGACCGTGCCTTTCAATACGCTCTCATGGGAAGAGGTCTCCCAAGAAGTGAAATGAGGGGTGAGTTACCCAGCAGGGTGTACAGTGCCTTTGTGGGGCTGGAGAGACGGCTTAGTGGTTGACAGGACTTGAGTTCTATTCCCAGCCCTCACATCAGACACCCGACAACTCGCTATTTCTCCAGTCCCGGGGACTCCCTTACTCTTTTTTGACCTCAGGAGGCACAACACTCACATATAACAAGCTCGTACACTCTCATACACTCAAAGTTAAAAACCGAAATTAAAATCAACTTTTTAAAGGCACAAGTGGGGGAAAGTTCATTTATATGCTTTAAGAAAAGAGTTTAAGCTGGGTGTGGTGGTGCAGGCCTCCAACCTCAGACACCAAGGATGCTGAAGAAAGAGGATTCGGATTTGGATTCCATCCGAGCTACATTAGGAGACTTCGCCTCAAAAACTAAATAGAAGATAAATAAGGTGTGGAGGGGAGTATAAAAAAGATCTGGGCTCCATTCCCAGCACCCACAGGACAGCTTACAACTGTCTGTAGCTCCAGTTCTAGATTTGGCATCCTCACACAGAGCTACATGCAGGCAAAACACCAATGTACATAAAATAAAAATAAATAAATTATAAAAATTAAGTTAGAAAAATTGAAGTTTGAGGTCATCTTTGGCTACATAGTCAGTTCAAGTCTGGCCTGGTGAGACACTGTCTGAAGTAAAATGAAGAAAAAGAAAAGGGAAAGAAAGAGAGAAGAAAAAATAAACAATATTGCTTTTTCTAAAAAAGAATAGATGCAACTCGACACCCAAGACCGTTTTTTTAGGACTTGTTATAAGGTCTTTTATAACCGGGGCTCTGTGTAGCGCCTCCCTATCTGCCCCAGCCGGAATCCTGCTGTCTGACACCTGGAAGCCAACATGCTGACCTGACTTGTACACATTTCCCTGGATATCTATCTGACTTCCTGCCGCTAAGAGATATGCAGGGAGAGGGCAGCCAGACCAGCCTCAACCTCCCGCTCTCCCTGGCTCCCCTAGCATTCTCAAGCCGTGCTCCCTAGAGGCAGAAGCCTCTGCGATTGCTTCTTCCTGGGGGTGGCAGTTGATCCATGGTGCGCTGGCTGGCACACCCACCATGGTTTTCATGTACACTAAAATTTCTAGTGAAAGGTCAACCATATAAACTAATTTCTTTTTCTTAGAGGTTGTTTGTAATTTAAAAGTTCATCTCTCACTTAGACAACAATGTGGACACAAAGAGAGACTTACATAGATCTAATCTACATGGGAAGTACAAAGCAGAAAAAGACAAGCTCTCCTGAGTAAATTGGGAGCATGGGGACCCTGGGGGGAGGATTGAAGCGGGGAGGGGAGAGGTAGGGATGGGAGCAGAGAAAAATGTAGAGCTCAATAAATATCAATTATGAAAAAAAAGAAAACATAAACAAACAACAAAAAGATTGTCTCTCTGGGCCAGAGTACATAGCTCCGTGGTCCAGCACTTGCCTAGCATGTGAGAGGCTGGGTTTCATTCCTAGCACCACAGAATCCAAACAAAAACCAAAACTAGTGACACCTACAAACACAGCACTCCCTGCTAGTCCCAGGCATCCGTGGCAGAAGTTTCCTTATGCTTCCGTGGAGAAAGGCAAGCATCTTGCCTCTTCACTGGACTCGAGAAGTCGTGCGCCAATGTTCACAGTTCTATTAGGCGTTTCCCCCTGTTTCCCCTTTCTATCACCAGCAGGGCACTTCCAGAGTCACTGCATCTTCGCTTTTGGATGCATGAGTCTCCTTGAGGTAGTGAAAGAGCTACTAAAAGTGATCCGCTTGGCAAAGAGGCTTTAGGAAATGTTCTCTGAAGGAAAACGACCTGCATATCACGTTTGCTTAATCCACAGCAAATGTTTATTCAGCATCAACCGTGTGTCAGGAAGCAGGAGGCATCGCAGCCATAGACTTGGAAGAAAGATAAGGAGCCAGGTGTTGTCGGGGCACGGTGCACACCTTTACTCCCAGCATTTGGGAGACAAAGGTCAGCAAATCATGGAGAGTTCAAGGCAGAGCCCAGCATTCTGGAGACAAGACAGAAGAATCTCAAGTTGAAGGTCATCCTAGTTTTGGGGGTACAACATGGTATCCCACAGTCTCCACGCTGCTTTCTCTCTTTGCTTGGGAAGGATCTTGTTCTGCAGCCCTGTCTGGTTTTAAAGTCATGGTAATTCTACTGTCTCAGCACCTCATGCGCTGGGATTATTGCTCTTATGTTTGTGAACGGTGCTCAAACATTTGTTGAATGAATGTTTCCTCCTGGGAATTCTTTTTTTAAGAACCTTGCTTTGTCCTGTGCATACAGAAAGAGACCAATACATCTTTCTAAACGGATAGGTGAAAATGGTTGAGATTTTGGAAGGAAAGGAAAGTTACAAAAGTTACATTTAGGATAATTTGGCAACTTAACTTGCTCAATGAGAACTGGAGAACATTTGAGGGGCTGATGCAGTGAATTTAAGAAATATTCTCAGAAGGAAAATGAAGGTAAGAAAGGGGCCCTAACCTATACACCACATCTGCTCATCCACTGGACAAGTGTTTACTTAGACTCTGTCATGTGTTAAACACTAGGAGGCAACATTGCCACAGACTTTAAAAACAAAAAGGGGTTTAGAAGTCAGATGTGGTGGTGCAAGCCTATAATCTCAGCACTTGGGAGTCTGAGATAGGAGAATCTCAACGTCAAGGCTATCAAAGCCAACCTCAGCTACATAGTAAAACCCTATCTCCAAGAAAATAAAAAAAGAAGTAAAAGGATAAGGAAGAGGGGGAAGGAAAGAAAAGATGGAAGGAGAAAAGTGATTTAAATCAAAATAAACTAGGCCTCATAGTTTATTTTTACAGATCTGTAATCCCAAATCCTCAGGAGACAGAAACAGAAAGATTAGAAGTTCCAGACCTACTGTGGCTATAAGGTAAATTTAAAGTCAATCTTGGAATTTAGTGAAAACTCTTCTCCAAAGGAAAAATACAATAAGGGGTCAGGGATGTAGGTCAGTGGTAGAGAGCTTGCTTGGCATTTGTGAGACCCTAGGTTTGATAACCAGGAGCATACAAAAAGGTTGGCTATATGTTTCCTTCTCAGACAGATGTGAGTGACATTCAGAAAGCAATCCATGTGTAGCGCCCGCCCTTATACTCGAATCCAGATAGATGTCTGAGATGCCAGGCAGAACCAGGCACTGTACGTACTCCTATTTCCTGTGTAGACACACGACTACTTAGCTCTAAAGAAAATGAAGTTTAAAAATTTGTAGGAAGCTGGGCAGTGGTGGCGCACGCCTTTAATCCCAGCACTCGGGAGGCAGAGGCAGGCGGATCTCTGTGAGTTCGAGGCCAGCCTGGTCTACAAGAGCTAGTTCCAGGACAGGAACCAAAAAGCCACGGAGAAACCCTGTCTCGAAAATAAAAAAAAAAATTGCAGGAAAATGGATAGACTTAGGATGTATAATATGTGTAAGGTGGGGGGTGGAGAGATGGTTCAGCAGTTAAGAACACTTGTTCTTCTTCAGAGGTCCTGCGTTTGGTCCCTAGCACCCACATGGCAGTTCAAACCATCATTGCCTCTAGTTCCAGATAATTTTACCCCTGCTGCTGGCCTCTAAGGGCACCAGGAATACACATGGTACATGCTTACATACATACATACATACAAATACTCATAGACATAAAATAAATCTAAAAAAATATTATGCAAGGTCACACAATAACAGAAAGAAATAAACTCCCATGTTCTTATATGCAGAATCTAACTAATAATATATATATGTTAATAAATGGACACGTGACTGCAGTATAACATGAAGAAAAGGAAACAAGAAAGGGATGAGGAAGGACTAGATGCAGGTGATGGACATGAGTTATGAAGGAGGATATCGCTGTAGAATATTAGTCAAAGTGCTCCCTTCGGCAGCACATATACTAAAATTGGAACAATACAGAGAAGATTAGCATTGCCCCTGTGCAAGCATGAAGTGGTCCATATCTTTTAAAAAAAGAATATTAGTTCAAAAGATGTGTTACATTTGTTTATACTGTGAAATGTTTGTTTAATGATGTAAAGATGTATTTCATTCTTTATGTTGCATTTGTTTAACTCTGTGAAGCTGTGTTACTTTGCCTGTCTAAAACACCTGATTGGTCTAATAAAGAGCTGAATGGCCAATAGTAAGGCAGGGGAAAGGATAGGCAGGGCTGGCAGGCGGAGAGGATAAATAAATAAGAGGAGAAATAAGCGAGGAGAGATAGAGGGATAGGATAAGGAGGAGAAGATGACGGAGTCAGTCAAAAGGCCACTCAGCCACACAGACAGATGCAGGATAAGAAGGAAAGAAAAGATATACAGAAATAGAGAAAGGTAATAGCCCAGAGGCAAAAGATAGACAAGATAATTTAAGTTAAGAAAAGCTGGCTCAAAATAAGCTTAGATAAGGACAGGCATTTTTTTTTTGGACTGGAATTTTGTTTTTTTGGTATAAATTTATCGAGGCCAGGCATTCTTAACTAGAATAAGACTCTGTGTGTTTACTTGGGAGCTAGGTGGCGGGCCCCCAAAGAACCAAAAAGTAAAATCAACCAACTGCAGGGTATAAAGCTAATTTATTTTGTAGTTCTGATTCTTTCGTGGAGTGTTTGGTTTTGGTGGTGGATAAGGGCATAAAATATATTCAATACCAAATGTGTAGAATTTTTTTTTTCAAGACAAGGTTTCCGGGGCTGGAGAGATGGCTCAGAGGTTAAGAGCACTGACTGCTCTTCCAGAGGTCCTGAGTTCAATTCCCAGCAACCATATGGTGGCTCACAACCATCTGTAATGAGATCTGGTGCCGGCCTGCAGGCATGGAGGCTGAACACTATGTACATAATAAATAAATCTTTAAAAAAAAAAAAAAAGACAGGTTTCCCTGTGTCATAGCTCTGGCTGTCCTGGAACTCGTTTTGTAGACCAGGTTGGCCGTGAACTCGCAAAGATTCACCTGCCTCTGCCTCCTGAGTGCTCGGATTAAGAATGTGCACCGCCATCACCCGGGGAAAAGTGTGAAATTTCATGTGAAGCCTCACAGCTTCCATTCCAAATGCCAATTCTAATCTATAGTTCAAACGCTGGGTCTGGTGAGTTCTGGCGTGTATGTTTTTATTTATCTGCAAGGATTTTTAGTAAAAAAATTTATAAAATGGAAAGAGAGAACAATTAGAAGAATATATTGTAACCAAAGTTACGTAGCTGTGCCCTCCCAGTCTTACTTTGATGACAGATGAGACAATACCTGTGTGGTGATGGTGATATGGAGACACAGCAGGAGCTACCATGTAGGTGACACTCCACACAGCCCTACCATGTCGGACTCCAGTAACAGAGAACTAAGTGCCTCCCAAGGAAATGATTCGTGTCCTGGCAGGACAGACCGGATAGCACCATTCCATCTTGCTACTAAGAACAGTGTGACATGTAAACCTTATGTATTATTTATTTTTGAACCTTTCCATTTTAACATTTTTGAACTGCAGGTGACCACCAGTACCTGAAACTAGCTCTTGTAGATCAGGCTGGCCTCGTACGCACATAGATCCCCCTGCCTCTGGTTGCCAAGTGCTGGGAATAAAGGCCAGCGCTTCATTTGTTTTTAAAGGCAGGATGTCACTATGTAGCTCTGGCTGCCCTGAAACTTGCTGTACGTAGAGCAGGCTAACCTTGAACTCACTGAAATACACCTGCCTCTGTTTCTGCCTTGTAAGCACTGGGATGAAGGACGTCACCATTGTCCCTGACAAAAGCCTGCTTTCTCTCACAGGGCTCTGGGGCTATTCCTGCAGAAGCCTACATCCAGAGCAGAAGCTAGGGTGTTTGGGTCTGGAGATTTGGTTTTAGGATCTTTCTCATCCTCTTGTTGACTCAAGACTCTGAGAGGGTTCTGTAAAAATTATAATTGTAAATGCTCTGACACTTAGGGAAAGTCCTCTGTAGATGGAAGTTTCTGTCTCACAGCCATTCAGTCCCAAAGAAGAACCACAAAGAGGCTTCTATTAATGATAAACTAGTTGGCCTTTTAGCTCAGGCTATTATTTACTAGCTCTTACAACTTAAATGAACCCATAGTTCTTGCCTATGTTTAGCCACATGGCTTGGTACCTTTTCTCAGGGACACATTCTCATCTTGCTTCCTCTGTGTCTGATTGGTGACTATGTCTCTGCCTATCCTCTTCCCAGAATTCTCTTAGTCTGGTTGCCCCGCCTATACTTCCTGCCTGGCTACTGGTCAATTAATGTTTTATTAAACCAATATGAGTGACAAATTTTTGTTTTTGTTTTTCGACATGGTTTCTCTATAGCTTTGGAGCCTGTCCTGGAACTGGTTCTTGTAGACCAGGCTGGCCTCAGACTCACAGAGATCCACCTGCCTCTGCCTCCCAAGTGCTGGGATTAAAGGCGAGCACCACCACTACCCAGCCTGAGTGACAAACTTTGCAGGGTACAGAAGCATATCCCACAGCAGTCCTCAGAGCTAGTCGTTCTTCTAAGCGGGGCTGCACGTGCTAAGTACTGTTTGTCCCGTGTTCTGATTAGCTTCTGTGGACAGCATTCTATTTTGTAGATGTAGAAACTGAGGCATGGAGCGGTTATGTATCATGCCCAAGTTCACACAGCTAGGATAGTGGGGGGACTGCCTCTAGAGCTACGCAAACTGGTTCCCCTTTCTGCTATCAATGTTCTGTTATTATATATCTCCCTGACTTTCCATTTTCACTTGTCTAAAATGAGGCCCTAACACCTATCTAGAACAGAGATTTGTTCTGTTTTGTTTGAGACAGGGCTCGGTGCTCAGGTAGCCCAGACTAGCCTCACACTCACTATATAGCCAAGTGACCTTCGACTCCTTATCCTCCTGCCTGAGATGGCAGAGGTGTGCTACGTGGGGCTGAAGATGGCACAATGGGTAAAAGCACTGTCTACAACTGTGAGGACCTAAGTTCAAATCCCCACCATCCGCAGGAAGCCCAGAGGATGTCTGTAATGTTAGAGCTCTTACGATTATAGGTCAGGTTTCTGCTACCACACCCTGCATGAAAGATTTTTTTTTGAGTAGGAAGTTAGGTCAAGCATGTCAGAGTAAATGTGAAACAAAACAACTAGCCATGACTAATATTCTGAGAGCTCCCATTGGCGGTGTGGCATGGGAGTGTGCGTGTGTGTGTGTCCAGAAGGGCACTGTGTATAGACCCTGGCCTTGCAAGGCCAGAGCCCCTAGAAGAACACTCTTGTTAAGGACCAGCACAGCAGCTCAATGGGAGAGCGCTTGCTTCACATATGTGAGGCTTTGGATTAATTTCAAGTACTTCCAAAACAGGAATGTTTTTATTCAGGAGAGATGACTCACTGGGTCAGAGTTTGGATTCCATCACCATGTTAAAAAAAAAAAAAAAAAAAAAAAAACAGGGCTGGAGAGTTGGCTCAGCAGCTAAGAGCACTCTTCTTCCAGAGGTCCTGAGTTCAATTCCCAGCAACCACATGATGGCTCACAACCATCTATAATGAGATCTGGTGTCCTCTTCAGGGGTGCAGGTACACATGCAGGCAGAATATTGTATACATAATAAATAACTCTTTAATAAAAAACAAAACAAAACAAACAAACAAACAAAAACCTGAGCACCAGACATGATAGTCCATGCCTTTAATCCCAGCAAGCACTTGAGTGCAGACAAAGGCAGAGTTCGTGTGAGTGAGTTCCTGCTCTACATAGAGAGTTATAGGCCAGCCAGGGCTGCATAGTGAGACCTGTCTTTAAAAAAAAAAAAATCTGTGTGTAGCCATGCACTCATCTGCAATTCCAGTTCGCAGCACCGCTGTGGGTGCTGTGGGAAACACTTGCGGGCTACCAGTCTATCCAAGTTCAGAGTTAGACCCTGACTCAAAGGTGTGAGGAAAACAGTGACAGAAGAAGGCTTCCAGAAGTACACCTCACACATATCTATGCATGATACATACACACATACGCACACATACTACATGCAAACACATGAACACGCAAATACACACTCAGATACATATATGTACATGCACATATACACATGAACACATACAATGCAGCTTAAATTATATGACCATGTCCTGTTGAACTTTAGTTTTTAATTTTTTATTTTTAATATTTTTGTGTTCTTTGAGACAGGGTTTCTGTGTGTAGCTCTGGCTGTCCCGGAACTCTCTCTGTAGACCAAGCCGGCCTCAAACTCACAGAGATCTGCCTGCCTCTGCCACCACCACCCTGCTGAACTTTAGTTCTTATTGGGAACATTTTTGTCCTCTGTAGACTTCTACCTGGGGCTGACCAGCCCTTGCTGTGCTTGTCTGACTCCCAGGAATGGCCACAGCATAGAGCTTCACCTCCCCTTGCAGGCTGCCCTTTTTCCACCAGGAGTGGGTGGAGTAGCTCTGACCAGCCCCATTCTGCCCCGTTGATGCAGCACTACCGCTACTGGGCAGCAGGTGGCGCAGAGGGACCTTGAAACTTAAATTTGGGCCTTTATCCATCTTCACGGCTTCCCTTCCCCTTTCCCTCTACTCCCTCCCTTTCTCCTCTTCCTTTTGTGATTTTTTTTTTTTATTTGTTTGAGACAGGGTTTTACTGTAACCCTGGCCGGACTAGAACTAGTGTGTAGACCAGGGTGGCCTTGAAGTCACAGAGATCCACTTGCCTCTGCCTCACAAATGCTGGGGTTAAAGGCGTGTGCCACAATGTCATCACTTTTACATTTGAACATGAAAACGTATCAAAAATGTCTTAGTGGAATCATGTCTTAAGAATATTTTCAGAGGCTGGAGAGACGGCCTGAAAGCACTTGATTCTCTTGCAGAGAGGACCAGAGTCAATTCCAAGCAGCCACATTAGACAGCTCACAACGGCCTGCAGCTCCAGCTGTAGCAAATTGAAGGCGCCAACAACCTTTTCTGGCCTCCTCAGGCACCCACCCCACACGTACACAAATAAGCAATAAAATAAATCCTTAAATGTTTTTGTTTGTTAGTTTTTGGTTCTTGTTTTCTGGAGATAGTGTTTCTCTGTGAAACAAATAGCCCTAGCTGTTCTGGAACTCTCTTTATAGACCAGGCTGGTCTTGAATGCAAAGAGATCCGCTTGCCTCTGCCTCCTGAGTGCTGGAATTAAAGGCCACCACTGCTGGGTCAAAAAGAATGTTTTGAGACAAGTGGAGTGGTAAATATCTGTAGTCCCAGCTACTGGGGAGGCAGAGGCAGGAGGATGACTTGAGCCCAGAAATTTGAAGCCAGGATAACGTTTCCAAAAAGAGAAAAACTGAATAGCTTCTAAATTTTTCTGCAATCCAAGACCTGGAGGTAGAGGAACGAGGACCAGGTGTTTCGTGCTGGGCCAATAACACGGGTCAGTGAGCAAAGGCTTTTGCTGCCAAGCCTGACAAGCTGAGCTGGTTCACTAAGCCCCACATGGTGGAAGGAGAGAACAAGTGGTTCCCTGATCCCCGACATGTTCCATGTCATGCACAGATGGATAAAAAAAATAGTTACATGTCATGCTTCAGTAAACAGAAAGTTTAGGCCAGACCGGGCTACATGTGGTTGTCTCAGAAAGCAAGCAGGGAGGGAAGAAGGGGGAAACAGAGAGAGGGGAAGGGAAGAGATGCCAAGTGTGGTGTAGCTCACACCAGTAACATCAGCACTCAGTAAGCTGAGGCAGGAGGATTGCCTAAGCTTGAGGCCAGCTTGGGCTACATAGTGAGTCTGAGGCGAGTTTGAGATACATAGTAAAGCTGTCTCAAAATAACAAGATATTCTGTGCCGGCGGGCCGAGAGGCACGACGCCAGCTACTGGAGATTACACCTTCTCGCTTGCCCTGCAGAGCTTCCGGAACACATGGATAGCCTAAACCTACTAACACTGCACCATAAGACCAGGGAAGAAATGAGTTCTCTCTCTTCTAGATAAGAGATGATGGTTCCTGCGTGCATGTGTGTGCATGCGTGTGACAAGGTTTCAGGGAGCCCAGGTCAGCCTTAAACTCAGTTTGTAGCAGAGGATGACTGGTAACTTTTAACAATTTTATAGTCATTGGTATTTTGCTTTCAAGTCTGTGAAGGTGTCAGAAGCCCTGATACTGGAATTACAGACAGGTGTGAGCTGCCATGTGGGTGCTGGGAATTGAACCCGGGTCCTCTGGGAGAACAGATGGTACTCTCAAACACTGAGATATCTCTTCAGCCCGACCTTAAACTCTTGACCCTTCTACCTTCATTTCCACTTGCTGGGATGGCAGCCATTTGCACAGTGCCCAGCCTCTTTCTTCTGTACACACACACACACACACACACACACACACACACACAGAGTCACCTGCTGTGGTTTTGTAGACTGAATATCATGTCTCCCAAAATTCATGTTAAAATCTAACCCCCACTCTCCTGTGAGGAAGAGCGCTGGGGAGGTGACTGGCCACAAGGGCATCACCCACATGAGATAATCATCCTTATTCAGAGGTCCCCAAGAGCTGCCCTGTTCTTCCTACCGTGGGAGAACATAGCAAGAACATGGATGGCCAGGACCAGAAAGTGGGCCCTTATCACCGCTGTGTGACAAACCCTCTCCTGGGAAGATGCATCACACAGGTCTACTCACCCCTGATATGGAGCCCACGATGGACCCAAGTACAGATACCACCAAAGTCCAAGTTGGCAAACGCTAAATTTTATTGACATTACTTCCAGGAGCAGAGATGACTCAAAGACAGCTTCATCACCAAGGCCCACCCCAGCATTAGTAACAGCTCACAAAGTTGAGAACGTGGAGCACACTGCACAGCCTGCAGGCAGCTCAACGTCCCTCCAGGGTGTCTCAGTTGGTCCAAACCTCTTCCAGGCAGAATGGCTGGTTTCTGCTGCTTCCAGGTAGCTGGCCTGCTCTCAGAGTCTTCTTTACCTTGCAGGTCTCCTGTGGTCTGAGGGGGATGTCAGCTCTAATAGTTTACTCTGACAGGAAGGGGCCTAATGAATCTGGTTAGTTTCAGGGGCTCCTGAAGCTATTTTGAGTTGCTGGCCTTCCTGCAGGATGGATTGTCTTAATCTTGGAGGAAGTGGTCACTCAACAACCAGCCTTCTAGACAGCAGTGTCTTGATCTTGAACATCTCAGCCGGCAGAGCAGGCCTGCTCTTCATAAACCGCCCACTCTGTGGTATGAAGCAATAGCACAGAAACAGGCTGAGAGAAGTGACCGATGTCACTTGATAACATCATCAATCTGTCATTTTACGTGGCCTGTGATAGATAACAGCTTGGACTGTGTCTTGTCACACAGGACAGGAATGGCTGTGAACTTAGAGTACATCTCAAGACCTCCTCACAGCACCAGCTTGGACCAGGAAGGACCAGTAAGGTTAGCCCACAGTCACTAGATTGCTTACTTTCTTATCAGGTTCGTGAGACCATTGTTTCCTCTTACTAGGGAGAAAACGGAAGTTAGGGAACCCACTCAAGGTCACTGAGACTGAAGGACCTTCCAGCAGCCAGGCCCTACTACAGTGCTCTGTTCTGGGCTCAGCCCCTGGACCATGATGCCTTGGGGCTGGACACGACAACTCCTGATGTTTGCATTTTCCACAGTTCCTGATATACAAGGTAGTCCTTAAATGTGTGTTGAGCGGAAGTGACACCAAGTGTGTGTCCCTCAGCTATCCATTCCTAGTGTTGTCCAGGAAATGGTACAGGAAAAGCTTGCGATTTTTCACTTTTAATGACTGGAAGACTCTGCTAGGGAACAACCCCCAGAAGGCCAGGTACACCTTTAAAGACAGCACTCTGGAGGCAGAGGCAGGCGGATTTCTGGTTCTGGTCTGGTCTACATAGTGAGTTCCAGGACAACCAGAGCTATGCAGCTCTAGACCCTGTCTCAAAAACAAAACCAGCTGGGCACATTCACCTTTAATCCCAGCACTCAGAGGTGGAGGCAGGTGGATCTGAGTTCTAAGGGCTGCCAGGGCTGTTACACAGAGAAACCCTGTCTTGAAACACTCCCCCACTCCAACCCCCAAAAAAGAAAAACAACAAAACAAAAAACCACTAAAACCAAAACAGACTGCTATGTACTCTCAAGACGGTTTCTCCATAACTACCATCTACTTTCCTGTACCCGCACTGACTCTGTCCTTTGGCCCTACGCGTTTGTGACACTGGCAGCTGAATTGGTCTCAGCTATCCTTAGTGCTGGTCCCAGAGGTGTGCACCTGCAGTCAAAAACGCTTGGGAGGCTGAAGTGGGAGGCTAGACAAAAGTCCAACCTTAGCTAAGTGAGTTCAAGGCCTGCCTGAGTTACAGAGCAAATACGCAGTCAAACACTCCCAGCCTAGCAGACTGATTAAGGGAAAAGTGAGGACGAAGCCTCTGGGGGAGGAATACCCTGTTTTCTACTTAAAAATAAAAACTGTCTGCCATTTGCCCTGCATCTCCTCAGAGTCTCTGTGGAGACTAACTGAACCGGACGTGCAGAGAGCGACTCTTCGCAGACTTTCCCTGCAGGGTCGGACCACGGCGTGCGTTCACGTCCCGCGCCCCAGATCCACGCGAGCAGGCGGACGGCCGGGTCCCCTGGGAACGCCGCAGCGGGAGAAGCGCCCGGCGGAAGGGAGGGGTGAGCTCGGAGAGGGGCGTGAGGCCCCGACAGGAGCAGGACACGTAATCCCGAGCGAGCCAGCGAGCAGAAGGCGCGGCAGGGGCGCGACCCACACGCCCGGGGGCGGGGCACCAGGCCCCCTTCACGCCCGAGCCGCCTCGGCAGCGGAAGTTCCGGTGTCGGCGAGCGGAGGTGAGAGGTCAGCAGGAAGTCGATACGTGGCCGCCGCCTGTGCCCGCCGAGGAGGCGCTCGGAGCGGAGATGGCGGCGCAGCTGAACGTAGAGCAGCAGCTCGAGGTGTCGCTCGACGGCCTCACGCTGAGCCCGGACTCGGAGGAGCGGCCCGGCGCGGAGGGTGCCCCGCTGCTGCCGTCGGCGTCCTCGCCCTCCGGGACTGGACGGGGCCCAGGCGCCGCAGGGCAGCAGCCAGAGCCCGGGGAGGCGGCGGCAGCTGAGGGCGCGGCCGAGGAGGCGCGGCGGATGGAGCAGCACTGGGGCTTCGGCCTGGAGGAGCTGTACGGCCTGGCGCTGCGCTTCTTCAAAAGTGAGCGGGTTCCCTCGCCTCTGCGGGGCTGCGGGCCGCCCGAGCCCGCCCCACCCACCCGAGCTAGGCCGGGGTGACCGGAGCGTGCCTCCGTCCTTGGCGGCACCCGGAGTCTGTCACTGCGGGTCTGGTCCCCGTGTCACACCCCTGAGGGGCCCGGAAGCCTGGCTTAGCAGCCGGCGTCGCCTGCGGTTGCTGGGGCGTTATCACCTGGTTTAAGTTGTCTGGTTTCCGAGAGCTAGAGTGGCCGAAGGAGCGCGCGCTCCCAGGGCTCCCGTTCTGGGATGGATTTCTCCTTTTCGTTGCTCTTTCTCCACCGGTTTGCCCTTTCCTGTGGCTCGCCACATCAAACCGATTTAAAAAAAAAAAAATCTTAGTGGAAGAAAATTGTCTGTGGGTCCCACACATACCTTTTTCTAGCCTTGGAAACCGGGAGCCTGTATAGGACAGGACATGATCATTCGGCGGTAGGGATGGAGCGAAGGAGGAAGTAAAATACTAAGTTCGTTTATGCCCTTTTGTTTGTATGTCCTGCTAACTTCTAAATGGTTATGACATTTTACCTTGTAAGTGAATTACGAAGACTAAGGCCCAAAAGTACACTCCCACTTTCTCCCTCCCTCATTCCCGTCTCCTCCCCTCTTCCTTTCTCTCCCTCTCTTTCTCCCCCCCCCCCACAATTAACTTTTTTAATGCCAAATTCCGGTGGGTGGTGGTTTTCTTCCCTTTTTTTCCCTTTTTTTTAAAAAAAAAAAAAACAACTGGGTTGTTCATGTAGTTAATAATGAAGGTACCACTCAAAAGATTTGGTCAGTGGGAAAGAGCTTGACTAAATAGTCTGATTCATAAAGATATTTAGGTCTTGAAAGTCAAGAGAGAGAGAGAAGGGCAAATGAAACTTTAAAAGTGGTTGCTAGGCTCCACATGCATTCCAGAACAGCGTATTTATGACATTTTCCGCAGAGATAGTACTTTCAGATTACATATTTTACCGGCTGAAGTTGGGTTGTTCATTGTAGTGATCCATGTTAACGTAGTTTTATTCTTAAATGGCTTTAATTGTGCAAATTCGTGAAAATTCCCAGAACATTAAGTGGTTATTCTGCAGTCATTGTAATTTTTTTGTTTTTAACGTAAAAAGTGTATCCTTGAACTGTTCATTGCCACTGCTGTGTTCTAGCTGCCTTGAGGACTTGGTAATGAGTTTAGAATTACTGTCTCTTGAGTTTGGAGTTTGTTGTAAGTAAATGTAAACCCACTTGTTTGTGCAGTTAACATAGGTATTCTTGCCCTTAAAAGTTAATTTTTGGGCTAGGCAGTGGTGGCGAACACCCTTTATCCCAGCACCCCGGAGGTAGAGGTAGGAAGGAAGATCTCTGAATTTGAAGCTGCCCTTATCTACTAAGCGAGTCCAGGACAGCCAGAGAGCTACACAGAGAAACCCTGTCTCGAAAAACAAGTTAATTTTTGGAACTTGCTTTTCAGTAACATAAACTGCAAAAAGGAACCAACTCTAGGCTTTTTTCCCTTAAACTTAATTGTGTGTGTGTGTGTGTGTGTGTATGTGTGAGAGAAAGAGAGAAAAAGAGAGAGAGAGAGAGAGAGAGAGAGGAGACAGACTGACTGACTTGTGTGCTGGGAGTTGAAGGGGAATCCTTGGGATGTGCTCTGCGCCATTCTGAACTACTAAAATAGGATTCCAGACCCAGGAAGAACCAACTTCTAATCCTTGATTTTGCTGCATAGGTTAAAAAAAGGGGTAATTTCATCTGAGCCCATCTTCTTTGAAAATAGCAACATCTGCTTCAAGAGATTAAGTTTCTGAGCATGGAGTTAAACACCTTTAATCTCGGAATTTGGGAGGCAGAGGCAGGTGGATCTCTGTGAATTTGAGGTCAGTCTGGTCTACACAGTGAGCCCTGGGACAGCCAGAGCTACATAGTGAGAGCCTGTCTCAAAAACAAAACAAAGCAAAAACCTAAACAAACAGATTAGTTAATTAATTTTAAAAATTGCATAATGGGCAGCAAATTTAGCATTGTTTTGGGTCAGACTTAATTTAAATTATTGTTGCTATATAAATTCCTAGAAAACTAACTTTGCTACAATCAAGTTTCTCTATAAAGAAGCTGAATTAGGTAACACTAGTTCCCTCACATTTAAAAGTTAGTGGTCTAAACAGACTTTTAAATTGCCTTTTGAGTCGCAAGGGTTTTCAGAGAGCCCGTATTTGAGGTGCCTGAGTTACCTGTCACCTTGTAGAAGAAAATGCACTGATGGGGATAGTTTGCTCGGTTTCTAACTTAACCTGCTCAGAATTGTAGCCAAGCACTTAAAATAGCTGTTTAGCAGTTCAAAGCACTTCTCTGTGTGGATTATTGTTTGAGATAACAACGAAGGGCTGGCCGTGGAAGGGCACTAATTGGGAGAGGGAAGAGGGTACAGAAGAATTAACAGAAGTCGGGTGAGTCCACAGTACTGCCTTTGTTTTTGTAGGTTGCATACCTCGGTGTGTGGAGGTCACAGGACAGCCTTGGATCTTGGTCCTTCTTGAGGCAGGATCTCCTTTGCTGTAGTGTAGCAGCCCAGCTGCTACCCCCATAGCTCCTGGAGAGGTTTCTGTCTCGGCCTCTCACTGGAGGAGCACTGAATTTGTAGTTGTGCACTACCACATCTCTCTTGATGTGGAGTCAGGAGATCTGAACTTACCCACGGAGGCATCTCCCCCAACTCAGGGCTTCATTTTAATGTATGTTTTTCTCCTACAAAATAAGTGTGGCAGTTGCTTTAAACTAGTGTCTTACTTTTTGTCTTTTTTTTTTTTTTTTTTTTTTTTTTTTTTTTTTTTTTTTTTTTTTTTTTTTGGTTTTTCAAGACAGGACTTCTTTTTATAAGTTTTAGGATAGCTCTCTGGCTATCCCAGAACTCACTGTGTAGACCAGGTTGGCCTCGAACTCACAGAGATCTACTTGCCTCTGCTTCCCTAGTGTTGGGATTTAAGGTGTGTGCATAACCACATAGCTCACAATGTTTTTTAAATTACACTTTATCTTCTATGGACTAAATATGAATCTTTTTTTAAAAATATTTATTTATTTATTTAATATGTATACAATATTCTGTCTGTGTGTATGCCTGCAGGCCAGAAGAGGGCACCAGACCTCATTACAGATGGTTGTGAGCCACCATGTGGTTGCTGGGAATTGAACTCAGGACCTTTGGAAGAGCAGGCAATGCTCTTAACCTCTGAGCCATCTCTCCAGCCCTAAATATGAATCTTGAAAGCAGGATTATCTATTCCATTGAAAATACCTGAAAGGGTCTGGGATGTAGCTCAGTCTGTCGAGAGTGCTTGCCTGTCTAGCTTTACGACCTGGGTTCTGTCACCAGGACCATACAAGCCAGGTGTGGTTGTGCAAGTCTGTAATCACAGCTCTCAGGAGGTGAATCTGAAGTTTGTTTTTTTGAGACAGGGTTTCTCTGTAGCTTTGGAACCTGTCCTAGAACTTGTTCTGTAAATCAGGCTGGCCCCAAACTCACTGAAATCTGCCTGTTTCTGTCTCCCGCGTGCTGGGTTTAAGGGAATGTGCCACCACCGCCCAGCAAGGTGAATCTGAAGTATAACGTCATTCCTAGCTGTATAGACACACACACCGGAAAAAGGAAGGAAGGAAGGAAGGAAGGAAGGAAGGAAGGAAGGAAGGAAGGAAGGAAGGAAGGAAGGAAGACAACGACAACAGTGTAACCTGGAGTCTGGAAGTCTGTTTTGTATTCCGTACTTGTCATAATGATGATTATAGCCAATAGCTTACTATGTCAACTCCTCTCTTTATTTTTTAAAAATTTATTTTTATTTCATGTGTGTTCGTGTTTTGCCTACATGTATGTCTGTATGAAGGTGTCGGATCCCCTGAAACTGGAGTTATAAGCAGCTATGAGGTGCCATGTGGGTTCTCTGGACGAGCAGTAAGTGCTCTTAACTGCTGAGCCATCTCTCCAGCCTCCTACTACACCCACCTCTCTTAATTTTTTGATGAAGTGAAAGTGAAATGATGTAGGCTGGGGGTGTAGCAGTGATAAGTGCTTGTTCAGTATCTGTAACATAGCATACATAGTAAGACCTTGAGTTCTGTCCCCGGGCATGGGGTGTGTACATATAGATGAAAATGTCCCTTTTGATGTTCTGTAGATTAACATTTTGTTGTCTAACCGCCAGGGATTGCTGTGCCCTTATGGATAAGGTTTACTATTAGAATTACTGCTGTGTGGATGGTGCAGACCTCTTTGCCCTTCAGGAGCGTGGAGTCAGGAGACTTAAAGAGCTGGTTGATAACTGCAGCACAGGTGGAGGAAGCAGAGGGGACAGGGGAAAGGGATGGCAGGCTTGTGTGTTTGGAACATGACAGGAGATAGTTTGATGGGGAGAGGAGAAATTTGAAACTAGATCCTGGAAGGACACAATGAAGTTGTACACAGTTTAGCCTTTCTGTTAGGTGAAGAACCAGGGAAGGTTTTTTTTTTTTTTTTAAAAGCAAATTAATTGCTCTTAATTCTATCTTAGCAAGATTAAACTGGCCTTTCTTAGCTTTTTATGTTAAGGTCCTAAAGAATTCTAAAGCTCTATGCTTTTCTGATGGAGTTAACTTGGGGAATTAGGTTTTGTTTTTGTTGAGTTATTCAGGGTCTAGATTTTTTAGATGTTTTTTCTTCTCTAATAGTTAATGGCTGTATTACATTTGTCTAGTAAACTGGTTGCATTCATTTGTGATTTCACACTAGTGGTTGTCAGTAGTTACGGTGTGCAGATGTTTACTAGATGTCAGGTGAAGGTTGTCTACACACTGTTTTACCTACTCCTCCCATGAGACTTGCAGTTATCTGCAGTGCTTCGTGAAGGAACCTGGCCCAGACCACTCAACCATTCCCTCATAAGAAGAAAGCTGGATCTTGGTATGGCTTCAGACAGGTCTTCCACTGCAGGGGGTAAAAATAGATAGGACTCTGCTTTCTGATAAAATACACAGGGGAAAATGTTTCAAAAGGACTGTCTAGTTACTTTGTCCCTTGAATAGTTTTTGGCATGAAAATATTAAGAACTAGTGGAAAGATCCACGTTGGTTTTGTTTATTTTAGATTTATTTTATTTATATGTCTGTATGTATGTGTGCCTACCACTTGGTGCCTGGTACCTGCAGAGGTCAGATGAAGGCAGCAGATCCCCTGGAACTGGAGGTGCAGGTGGTTGTGAGCTGCCATGTGGATGCTGAGAACCAAACTTGGGTCCTCTGGAAGAACAGCCTGAGCCATTTCTCCAGCCCCCAAGTTTGCTTTTAAAGCATTATCCCCTTAAGGAAAGTTTTAAGTGTATTAAAAGAGGTAAGTGTGAGTGGGGCTAGACAGATGGCTTAGAAATTAAGAGCACTTGTTGCTCTTGCAGAGGACCTGGGTTTGGTTCCCAGCAACTTCATAGTGATTCCCAATCATCTAACTCCAGTTCCAGGGGATACAGTACCCTTTCGACCTTTGTCGGGTGTAAGGCACAAACAAATGTGGTACATACATACAGGCCAACACTAATACACAGCACATCTTTATTTATTTATTTATTTATTTATTTATTTATTTATTTATTTATTTATTTATTTTTGAGATAAGATCTCTAGCTGTTCTGGAACTTGATATATAGTGACCTCAATTCATAGAGATCCACCTGTCTCTTCCTTTCCAGTGCTATACCTGGCAAAATTATAAATGTTTGTAATTGAAAAAATAAATATGAGAACTCTCTGAATTTTTGCATTGCATCTCTGTTGGATTGAAATTTTGAATGAAAGGCAGGTAAGATGGTTCAGTGGATGAAGGTGCTGCTGCCAGAGTTCTGTTACTCTACACAGAACACACCATAGAAGAAAGGAACCGGCTCCCACAGGTTTTCCTCTGACAACCCCTCAACTCCCATAAATAAACATGTTAAAAACAAGTTTTGTTTTGTTTTGTTTTTTAAAGACAGGGTCTCTCTAGGTAGCTCTGACTGTCTTGGAACTCCCTATGTAAGCCAGATTGGCCTCAAACACAGAAATCTGCCTGCTTTTGCCTCCCAAGCTCTAGAATTAAAGGCAGGTGCTGCCATACCCTGCCAAAATTTGTTTTATTTTGGAGATCGAGTCTTACTCTGTAGCCAGGGTTACACTAACATTGCTATTGATTATTCCCAGTATGGACAGTATTACATATGAGCAGAGAATTATATATATGTTTGGATTTTTTGAGACAGGATTTCTCCATAGCTTTGGAGCCTGTCCTGGAACAGCTCTTGTAGACCAGGCTGGCCTCGAACTCACAGAGATCTGCCTGCCTCTGTCTCCCCAGTGCTGGGATTAAAGGCCTATGCCACTGCCACCTGGCTTTTGCTGGGGGAGGGGGCTGTCCTGAAATTTACTGTGTAGTTTAGGCTTGCCTGAACACATAGAGATCCGCCTGCTTCTGCCTCCTGCGTTCTGGGATTAAAGGTGTGCTCCATTCCTGACTGGAGATACAGTTTTAGTTCTGATCATCCTAACAGGCTTTGTTCAGTATATTTTTAGTAAGTCAACAGTGTGACTTAGCTGTGGAAGAAAAGCTTTGACCTTGAGCTGCTTTGGGGGAAATGTGTGATACCTGTAGTGAGAAAGAAAGGGGCCTCTGTTCTCTGCACAGGTCAGATGAGTCCTCCATATTGCCCTGTTTGAGGCTCATCTTCCAGAGTCAGTGATGAGAGGAAACTCTCGGGAGAGAGTGACTTACATCAAGTGGGGACAACTTGCAAGGATTAAACTTGGGTCATCAGGCCTGGTGGTAGGTCCTAAAATTATCCTCTGCACCATTGCACCAGCCCTTTTTTTTTTTTTTTTAAGTTTATGTCATCTCGATATGGACTCTGCTGAACTATCAGGTGTTTTGGGTAGGGTTTCTCTGTGTAGTCGTGACTCTCCTGGAACTTTGTAGACCGGGCTGGCCTCAAACTGGATCCACCTACCTCTGCCTCCCGAGTGTTGGGATTAAAGGCATGAACCACCACATCTGACTGTCTTTCTTATTTGCTTATATGGAAGCCTACCAGAGCCAATGATAAGGAAAAAGAATCACACAGTTGGTATTAATAATAATGTACTATTAACTTCTGAAATTCATTTTATTGATGACTCAACTAAGAAAGTAATTCATCCAATGGCTTAGAAATGTCTGAGATTTAAACCCAGTCCATCTGATTCCAAAGCCCCTGCCAAAACATACCACCTCATTAGAGTGGTTATACTTTAAACATACCCTTCTAAAGTATATACAATTTGTTAATGCATGATCCTATTCAAAGTGATTAAAATGAGTTTTGTTTTTAATCAATTTTAAAAATCATTTTTAACTGGGTGGCAGAAGCAAACAAATCTCTGAGTTTCTAGCCAGCCTGGTTTTGCATAGTGAGTCCAGGCCCGCCAGTGCTACATGATGAGTTCCTGTTTCACAAACAGCAGTAAAAATAAGCTTTTGAACCAGGTGGTGGTGGTGCATGCCTTAAGTCTCAGCACTCAGACTGAGTTCCAGGACAGCAAAGGTTACACAGAAAAACCCTGTCTTGGGGGAACATTTAAAAATTATCATTGTAGCCGGGCGATGGTAGCACATGCCTTTAATCCCAGCACTCAGGAGGCAGAGGCAGGCGGATCTCTGTGAGTTGGAGGCCAGCCTGGTCTACAGAGCTAGTGCCAGGACAGGCTCCAAAGCCACAAAGAAACCCTGTCTCGAAAAACCAAAAAAAAAAAAAAAATTGTATATTTTTT